TAATATTATTTATTTTAATATATTTTAAGAGCCAAAGTTCGCGCCCTATATATACATCTCGGATCACCTGGACTTCAAACTCGTTGAATATCACCAAAAGCACGGAATCAACGCCTTTTCGTTAGCCTTCGCACTGGGAGGGGCCGAGGGCTGTATACCTCAATGGGGTGATGGCCTACCCATCGATGATCCCAAAGTGATCAAAGAAATTCAGGCGTTCAGAGCACTGGGAGGTCAGGTGATTGTGTCGACCGGTGGCCAGAATTCGGCCCAATGTCTGGAACTGATGTGTCGTTCGGCCCCCGAACTGACCGCCGCTTATAAGAGGGTACTGGAGGTGACGGGAGCTATAGGTCTGGACATTGACGTCGAGGTGTCGATACCGTTGGATACCGTGAACCCGGCCTTAGCTGCCGTTCAAAAGGCCAACCCTAATGTCACCGTTAGCTTNCTGACCGCCGCTTATAAGAGGGTACTGGAGGTGACGGGAGCTATAGGTCTGGACATTGACGTCGAGGTGTCGATACCGTTGGATACCGTGAACCCGGCCTTAGCTGCCGTTCAAAAGGCCAACCCTAATGTCACCGTTAGCTTCACTGTTATGGTCAGTATTTTTATTTTAAATTAAATAATTTTTATAAATTAGATAACATATATATTTATTAATTATTTACATAATCAGATATAAAATTTTAATATTATTTTGCTGCTAGTTTAATTTATTATCTAGATTAGTATTTTAGTCCAATAAATAAAATACAAATAAAGTATAAGTAAAATATAACTAACCTAGGATCTACTGTAGGTTGGTAGTAAATCTAAATGAATTTAATTTATATTGAATTTATATTCAGACATTTTTACATGAGTAAACCTGTCTTGATACAATAAGTTTAGGTTAAATAGTTTATATTATATCTACTAAATCACATAATATGTTGTTAACATACCTGTCCATAACCCCAACCCCCAGACCCAGGGCGACGACTACGGTATGAACGACCCGTTAGGCGTAGATGTGCTCAAGAGTGCGGCAAAACACGGGGTGAACGTGGATGTGGTAAACCTAATGGTCATGGATTACCACACGAGTAAAGTGGGCCGACATTACGGTGAGGCCGCCATATATGTGGCACAGAATGCCGTCAAACAAATGGTCAAAATATGGCCCCAGAAGTCCGAGCAGGAGTTGTATGGTATGGTAGGCCTGACACCTATGATAGGACTCAATGATATTAAGGGTCCGATGGTGTACTTCACGGTGGATGACGCCAAACAAATGGTGCAGTGGGCTAAGCAAAATAAGCTAGGTCATCTGGGGTTTTGGTCAGTTAATAGAGATAGACAATGTACTACAGGGAGTAGTCTTGATGAAGATCCTCATGATAATTGTTCCAGTATTCAGCAAAAGGAGTTTGAGTTCACCCAGGTGTTTAATACATTTGCCCAATAATTATTAGCATGTATCTTTGAAATTTTAAAATAAAGTATTTTTGTTATATTGCCAAGTATAAATATAATATTTAGCTATAAATTAAAATAAAATGTGAGCTACTGTATTATTTTTACTAAATAACCAATTATATGTTTTTAGTCAACAAGCTGTTTAAAAAAATTATAACTTATTTGTTGCATGTAACTAATGATATTGATCATGAATAAAAGTTTTTATTATTTATGTAACATTTATAACCCATAAGCAAATTAATAATTTAAAATTATCTGCAAATAAATAGAATTAAATTTCATTACAAGTACACTGCTCTTTGGACAGCAGTATTAATTATAAAGATGATTTAATGTACTGCATGCAAAGTAACAAATGTATAAAATAAAAAAGATTTATTTTAGAAAACTGATTGTGGAAAACACACCTTTTGATAATAAAAAGTATTATTTAAAAACAAGATTATCATCATATTTATTACGAAATCACAAGACAATAAATGAACTGGGGTAATCAGGTAATATTTAATTTATAGCCTATGAATATTCTTAATTCTACTCGTAGGTCAATGAAATTAAAAATTTTGCTTTTGATAATTAACTATGTTTAAATTAAATTAAATTAGTAAATTAAATGTCTCAAATATAAAAGTTAAATTAAAACTTGTAATAAAACTAATTTTAAATGTCAACAATTAATGTGAAGCAAACAATTCCTGATTTATGAGAAGTTTGCCAAATGTTTAAAAATTATCAATAAAAACACTATAAATTAAAAATGAATTGCTAACTTTCATACTGTACCATTTGTAAAAATGAGACTGATACTTTTAACAATATTTACTGCATTATATTGCAGTGTTTTATTTGACGAGTCCAGTGGTCACGGCTATATAGCCGACCCGCCGTCCCGATCGAGCGCCTGGAGGTTTGGATTTCCTACTGTTCCCAACTATGATGACAATCAGCTATTTTGTGGTGGACTTGATGTTGA